GCTGTGATCGTAGCAACAGCTGTTCTTCATAACATAGCTTGTGAAAGAAATGAAGAAATTCCACTAACAGATACAGAAGTTGAAGCAGCAATACATGTAGTAAATAATATGCCAAATAATATAAATGGAAACACAATTACAATCAATAATTCAACTAGACTTTCTTTAATTAATGAATATTTTTCAAGACTTTAAAATTTATAATTAACATAAATAAAATTTTTTATATGCCCTTGATAATAATAAATAATAAAACAAATTTTCAAAACAAAAATTATACTTATATAAATTAACGCATTAAATATTTTAGTAGTAAATAGTTTCTTATAAAACAAAAATTTTTCTTTTTCTTTTTCTTATAAAAAAAAAATTAATAATATTAATTTTTCTTCTCCAACATATTTTTCTTATATTCGAGTTCGTATTGTAATATTTCCTTTTCCATTTTTAATTTTTCGATTTTGAGTTGATGCTCTTCTAGAAAACATTGTTTTTGAATGTCAATTAAATTTAATTTTGCTTTTCCTACTTTTGTCCATGTATCATCATCTGATGTCTTTTTAAAACATTTATTAGATAAACTTTTTAAAGTTTCTGTAATAAATATAATAGTATAAGGATATAGAGATAAATATATAAGTACATATGTTTCATGAGTTGAAAATTTTGTAACTTTATTATTACCTTGACTTTTTTTTTCAGCGTCGCCTGTTTTTTCAGATAATACATTTAATTTTTTAGATTTGAGTTCTCAACATATTTGGGCAATATTTTCCCCAATCTTAAATTTTTTTATACAATAGTTAATTTTTATACAAAATAAATAAAATTTAAGTACATTTAATTAATAATGATTACAGATCATGAGATTTAATTTTTAATATTACCTTTCTTTTCATTAATATTCTCCTTGTCTACACTATTTTCATTGTCAAATGAAGTGGTGTCTTCAATAATAATTTTTATATTATTTTCACTTATCCCTTCTTGTACTTTTAAATCTTTAGTGTTTACTATGACGTAAAAAAATAATTAATTAATGAAAAATATATTAAATAATAAAAATGACGAAACACATACATTTAAAAATTTCAGATGTACTTTCATCATTTTGTATCACCAATGTAGCATCACTATCAAATTGAGATGTCATTCCTGTTAATTGAGTTCCTAACATAGATTGTATGGTCTCATCTATACTATCAAAAACAATATTTGCAGGTTCTCCTCCACCAGTGCCTTTTACATGGCATTTTAAATCAGCAAATTTCTTCTTTGCTTTCTTTTTTAAATTTTTATATTTGCGGCGTAAAGTTGGAGAATCTCTAAACGTCCCAGTAGTTGAATTAAATTCTTTGGAAATAGTTTTCCACGTTTCTTCTTTCAATATATTCGAATTTGTGTCCGTCCGCTTACATTCTAATACTTTATCATGTTTCTTAACTAATTGTACCTATGTTAAAAAATGTATAAGCACAAAAATGTATTTACACAATAGAAATAATTCTAATATAACAATAATTTAATATTGTCGACAATTCATTGATAATTATTTACCAAATCAGGTTACTTACCAAAATTTCTTCTTCGGTTTTTGTAAAATTGGGAGCACGTTTTGATGAAGCACTGCTATCGTTTGCCATATTTGTTAATTATAAATTACAGTCGTGACAAACAAATCGATAGTTTGCGAGAGAATTGAAAAAAATCAATTAATAGATGTAAAGATTGAAGCTCTGACACGTATAGTATAGACTTATCTTCAGGTTATATTTACTGCACATCGAGTTCGCGCATGTGATCAGTTGCTAACAGAAGTTTAACTAAGGTTTAATTAATCTATCCTCCTTGTACAATGGAAAAACGAATAGTATATAAAACTAAGTTTAAGGATCAAGAAACGTTTTATTAAACTTTAGTTTAAGCTGTTATTGAAAAACCGGCCCTTAATGAGTTTTTAAAAAGGAGCACAAGCTGTTTGTAATGATTTTTGTAGATCTATTAAACGACATATAACAGTCATTTTTTACCGTTTAGTTAATCTTAACTTTAAACTAGGTTTTATATTAATCTATACATTGAAAAACAATCAAATATGTCTGAACAAAGTTTAAACTTTAATCTAAGATTAAACTATTATTGAAAAACCGGCCCCAAGGCGCCGCGTATAATTGACTACCGATGAGGTTTGACGTAGAAATTTTTTTAGTTCATGTGCGTAGTATTTTTCAATAAGCTGATTGGCAATCAGCTATTCGAATAACGATTGACAATGTTATTATAAAGCGTGACAAGCGTTTCTTACGATGAAAAAAATGAGAAATTACAGAAACGGTCGAGTTTTTCTGACGGATCGAAAACTCGAGAAAATTCTCGATGCCTGTTAAATTCGAATTCTCGAATTAGCGAATATTATTTGGAAATTTATGCGTACTTTTAAACCGGGATAATTTTTATGTTTTTCGAAAAATACCTTTTTTCAAAATTATATATTGTTGAATTTGTTTATAGAGTTTTATCACCTTTTACAACTTTTTCATATGGTTTGTAGAAGAATTTTTGACTGTGGAAGTAAAAAGAATACGTTGATAAAATCTAAACTTAAAAAGAAGTAGCTTGTTTGAGTAGGAGTCGTGAAATATTATAAAGAAACTTGAAACATGCTGCATAGTATCTCTATTCAGTGGCGTAGCTATAATATTGGGGGCCTCCGGGCAAAAATTGAATGGGACCCTTCGCAGAAATTTAAGACAAGATTCGTTGTTGATTCAGTTATCTAAGTAATCCATATTTACTTATTTATTAATAAATTAATATTTCATTAATTTATTTATCAATTTATTTATTCAAGCATGTTAGTTAATTATTCAATGAGAATATAAAAAACAATTACATGATAATTTACAATTACATGATAATTTTTTCTTAATGGAAAGCTACGACATGATTTATATAATGAAAGTGTCTTTCATTTTTACGTCCGAGTCATCGTTGTTGTGTAGCGTTTACATTATAAACAAATATTGTATATCCCCAATAAAATGTAAAATCATAAATATTATACAATTAAATATTAAATCTGTATTTGATTACGATCCGGGCACGCCAAGTTTTCATAACTTACTTCGATTTAAAGATTGTGCGATTTAAAACTTGCGTAAAACGTTTTTTGTAATTATATACCATATATTATATAAAAGATGTTTTAGAAATTAAAATAATCCTGATCCTCATTTAGTAATAATTTCTAATCTGTTCTGATTTGCGAAATGTGTGTAAGCAGATTAAATAAAATATTGAACTAGTGTCTGTTGTAAGATTTCTGCGAAAAAGATACAAGCGATTTAATAAATTATATATCTCTGTGTGTATATATAACAGTGTTAAACATTTTCCATAATGTTTGATGAAGAATTTTTTGAAGTGAGTGATGAAGATGAGAATATTTTAAGATATATAAGACAGATTAGAAGAAAAGATCGTGTTGTAAGGCCGAGACGAAATCATTTCGCAATTTGGGATGAGAAAGAATTTATTACAAGATTTCGATTATCCAAAGAAACAGTACATATGATAATACAAAAAATTGAAGATACTATCAAATCACCAACTGAAAGGTATTGTTGTACAATATATTATGTAAACTAAAAATTAAGGTTATCAAAATTATTTCTAAAAAGAATGAAAATAAATAAAAAAAAAAAAAAAGTAATAATAAAGTAATAATAAAGTAATAATATATGAAATATATTTAATCATATTAAATATATTTCATATATTATTACTAACTATTAATAATTATAATATGAATAATAAAAAATTATTAATTTTATTAAATAAAATTATTAAATTTATTAATTTTATCTAGGAATCAGGCTCTTTCTGCATCTGAGATGGTTTTATTAACATTAAGATTTTATGCAAGTGGATCCTTCTTGATAACTATAGGTGATTTTAGTAGTATTCATAACAGTACAGCAAGTAAAGTAATTAATAAAGTTTCAAGGGCCATTGCTCAGCTTAGCCCTTTATATATAAAATTTCCGAATACAGAGGAAGAAATTGGAAGACTTCGCCAAAAATTTTATAATATTGCAAAATTTCCACGTTGCATTGGTGCCCTTGATTGCACTCACATAAAAATTCAGTCTCCAGGTGGCAACAACAGTGAAGCATACAGAAATAGAAAAAATTTCTTTTCAATAAACGTTCAAACTATTTGTAGTCCAGATTTAAAAATATTAGATATTGTTGCTCGTTGGCCAGGATCAGCACACGATTCTACAATATTTAATAATAATAACATAAGAGGGCACTTTGAACGAGGTGAATTTGGTGACAACCTTTTAGTTGGTGATAGCGGATATCCCGTAAAAACTTATTTAATAACACCTTTATTGAGACCTGCTAAAAATGAAGAACAACTATTTAATGAATCACAAATTCGCACCAGAAATCCAGTAGAAAGATGCTATGGAGTGTGGAAAAGAAGATTTCCTATTCTAGCGTTAGGTATCAGACTAAATTTAGATCGAGTCGAAGCTGTGATCGTAGCAACAGCTGTTCTTCATAACATAGCTTGTGAAAGAAATGAAGAAATTCCACTAACAGATACAGAAGTTGAAGCAGCAATACATGTAGTAAATAATATGCCAAATAATATAAATGGAAACACAATTACAATCAATAATTCAACTAGACTTTCTTTAATTAATGAATATTTTTCAAGACTTTAAAATTTATAATTAACATAAATAAAATTTTTTATATGCCCTTGATAATAATAAATAATAAAACAAATTTTCAAAACAAAAATTATACTTATATAAATTAACGCATTAAATATTTTAGTAGTAAATAGTTTCTTATAAAACAAAAATTTTTCTTTTTCTTTTTCTTATAAAAAAAAAATTAATAATATTAATTTTTCTTCTCCAACATATTTTTCTTATATTCGAGTTCGTATTGTAATATTTCCTTTTCCATTTTTAATTTTTCGATTTTGAGTTGATGCTCTTCTAGAAAACATTGTTTTTGAATGTCAATTAAATTTAATTTTGCTTTTCCTACTTTTGTCCATGTATCATCATCTGATGTCTTTTTAAAACATTTATTAGATAAACTTTTTAAAGTTTCTGTAATAAATATAATAGTATAAGGATATAGAGATAAATATATAAGTACATATGTTTCATGAGTTGAAAATTTTGTAACTTTATTATTACCTTGACTTTTTTTTTCAGCGTCGCCTGTTTTTTCAGATAATACATTTAATTTTTTAGATTTGAGTTCTCAACATATTTGGGCAATATTTTCCCCAATCTTAAATTTTTTTATACAATAGTTAATTTTTATACAAAATAAATAAAATTTAAGTACATTTAATTAATAATGATTACAGATCATGAGATTTAATTTTTAATATTACCTTTCTTTTCATTAATATTCTCCTTGTCTACACTATTTTCATTGTCAAATGAAGTGGTGTCTTCAATAATAATTTTTATATTATTTTCACTTATCCCTTCTTGTACTTTTAAATCTTTAGTGTTTACTATGACGTAAAAAAATAATTAATTAATGAAAAATATATTAAATAATAAAAATGACGAAACACATACATTTAAAAATTTCAGATGTACTTTCATCATTTTGTATCACCAATGTAGCATCACTATCAAATTGAGATGTCATTCCTGTTAATTGAGTTCCTAACATAGATTGTATGGTCTCATCTATACTATCAAAAACAATATTTGCAGGTTCTCCTCCACCAGTGCCTTTTACATGGCATTTTAAATCAGCAAATTTCTTCTTTGCTTTCTTTTTTAAATTTTTATATTTGCGGCGTAAAGTTGGAGAATCTCTAAACGTCCCAGTAGTTGAATTAAATTCTTTGGAAATAGTTTTCCACGTTTCTTCTTTCAATATATTCGAATTTGTGTCCGTCCGCTTACATTCTAATACTTTATCATGTTTCTTAACTAATTGTACCTATGTTAAAAAATGTATAAGCACAAAAATGTATTTACACAATAGAAATAATTCTAATATAACAATAATTTAATATTGTCGACAATTCATTGATAATTATTTACCAAATCAGGTTACTTACCAAAATTTCTTCTTCGGTTTTTGTAAAATTGGGAGCACGTTTTGATGAAGCACTGCTATCGTTTGCCATATTTGTTAATTATAAATTACAGTCGTGACAAACAAATCGATAGTTTGCGAGAGAATTGAAAAAAATCAATTAATAGATGTAAAGATTGAAGCTCTGACACGTATAGTATAGACTTATCTTCAGGTTATATTTACTGCACATCGAGTTCGCGCATGTGATCAGTTGCTAACAGAAGTTTAACTAAGGTTTAATTAATCTATCCTCCTTGTACAATGGAAAAACGAATAGTATATAAAACTAAGTTTAAGGATCAAGAAACGTTTTATTAAACTTTAGTTTAAGCTGTTATTGAAAAACCGGCCCTTAATGAGTTTTTAAAAAGGAGCACAAGCTGTTTGTAATGATTTTTGTAGATCTATTAAACGACATATAACAGTCATTTTTTACCGTTTAGTTAATCTTAACTTTAAACTAGGTTTTATATTAATCTATACATTGAAAAACAATCAAATATGTCTGAACAAAGTTTAAACTTTAATCTAAGATTAAACTATTATTGAAAAACCGGCCCCAAGGCGCCGCGTATAATTGACTACCGATGAGGTTTGACGTAGAAATTTTTTTAGTTCATGTGCGTAGTATTTTTCAATAAGCTGATTGGCAATCAGCTATTCGAATAACGATTGACAATGTTATTATAAAGCGTGACAAGCGTTTCTTACGATGAAAAAAATGAGAAATTACAGAAACGGTCGAGTTTTTCTGACGGATCGAAAACTCGAGAAAATTCTCGATGCCTGTTAAATTCGAATTCTCGAATTAGCGAATATTATTTGGAAATTTATGCGTACTTTTAAACCGGGATAATTTTTATGTTTTTCGAAAAATACCTTTTTTCAAAATTATATATTGTTGAATTTGTTTATAGAGTTTTATCACCTTTTACAACTTTTTCATATGGTTTGTAGAAGAATTTTTGACTGTGGAAGTAAAAAGAATACGTTGATAAAATCTAAACTTAAAAAGAAGTAGCTTGTTTGAGTAGGAGTCGTGAAATATTATAAAGAAACTTGAAACATGCTGCATAGTATCTCTATTCAGTGGCGTAGCTATAATATTGGGGGCCTACGGGCAAAAATTGAATGGGACCCTTCGCAGAAATTTAAGACAAGATATAATAATATACATAATATATGTATATTTATCAAAGAAGTTTTCATAATTTTTTTAATTAAAAATATCGAGAAATGTAAACACAGTAGCTATTTTCCAGAGACATCTTTTTTCGGAGACGCTTGGCGGTGAGCAAGATTACTCGGAGCTGGATCATCTGAAATAAAAAATGCAAAAGAATTTAACTTTCGTATGAATTGATC